TCATTTAAGGACAGTGATGTTAATACAACAACGTACAGTTGTTTTTATGCTGAAGTTACAAAATATTATTAAAGCGAGTTGTTTTGCAATGTGTTTGCTGACCAATATATACACGATGGGTCGAAAATCCCTTGATAACTGATTTATTTCAAGAATAGTCGAAGTTCTGGAAATCTTTATTGTGTACTGAAAAAGTGAGTACACTCTAGAATCGGTCAGCGTGTCCATCCGTGTACACGATAACTTTTGAAAGGAGAGTCCGATAGCGATCAAAATTTTCTACACACTTTTGTCTTAACAATATCTTGGTCGATCTCGAAAATGAGAAGAATCAAACAAGGCGTTCTTGAGTTATCGAAAAAATATTCATTATTCCCTATGATTTTCTATGCAAGAATCGACCTATACCTGCTTTCATAAGGAACTTTTCCTATTATGGTCAAATAAAACCGCAACTATTGTATACCATTCGATAGAGAATTTAAAGAGCTACAAAATGGTATATGAAGCATAAAGAAACAAGAAGGCTAACTCACCTATTGCTAAGATGAATAAATTGACCCAAAATTAGAGCTCTATCTTCCGATCACAGGTATGATGCTTCGAGGTTTTGCAGAACGGAGAACTCAACTCTGTACTCCGATTGGTTGGGCAATAGCCAATAGAAATCAACAGTTTATAGGAAAGTTTCCCAAGTATTATTTTAATGTCCACATATTCTACGATGACTCATATGTCTAATTCACTTTTTGAAGTACACATAACTCTCGGATTTAAATCCGAGGTTTCTGCATTTATTTAATCAAACAAGTTGCATTCAACAAAAGATAATTTAGAAATAAATGTTATTCTATTCTATTCCTTCAAATCAATAAATCATATGCTTGGTCGTCGTTCAAATATGCGATCTAATTCTTCAACGTGTTCATAATTTTTAATTGTGCCCTTTTCAGCTTTAGTGATCAATGTTTGAACATCAGGCTGAGCTAATAAATCTTTATAAACATGATAAGAAGGTGTTAGTCCAGCTAAATTAAGTAAAATATTATTTGTTTCTTTCAATTCATTATACGCTCGATCCATTGTTTCAATCAATCGTTTTTTATTCAATAATTCAACACCAGTTTTATCTTGACGTCCATCTTCGACAGCTAATTCTTCTGGTGAATAAATATTGAAAAGCGAAAACAATAGATGAGTAGTATAATATAAAATGAATCGTTCGCCAAATTGAAATCCTATGATAAAATTTAAAGAGAATTTTTAGATTGAATATTTCAAATGAAAGAAACTATTTGTTTTACCATTTTCATAGTTAGGTAAAACAAATGGATGCTCATATGCTTCAATATGTACAACAGACATTTTTTGATTTGAGTCGATTTTGAGTATAGCAGCAACATTATCGTATACATCACAATAGTTAGGTGCTGAAAATAGGGAAATTAAGACAGGAAAATTGGTTTTAGAGGATTTTCGAAAGAATTTGACACCATCTTTTTGCACTTCGTGCCCGCGAATAATTGATAAAAGATTATTTCGTAATAAGAATTTTCGACAAGCATAATAAGAAAAGAAGTAAGAACATCCACGGACATCATTCGGTTTAAAATCTGGTTGTTTCTCATCCATTTGATCAAAATCTTCACATGGATCAGACCAAAGCAAATCGCAAAGAGGACCTGAATCAGGTATTTCCACAAAACGATCGAGTTTTTCAATATCAGATAGAGTACGAATATCGGGTGAAATACCACCATGCATGCATAGAAAATGTGAATCAATGACAGCACAAATGGGCAATGCATCAAAAGCGGCCATGCAAGCGTTGTAGAGTGTCATTGAACTGTATTTTTTTTGGCATTCCAGTTTAAACTGAAATGCTTCTGTCATTTGACGAGTTTCATGATTCCTGATAAAAGAACACACGAGAATTCTGTAGAGAAATACGGGAAAACAAATCTCGTCTCTGATAAACTTTTTCCATCTGAGAACCCATTCTTAGAGAACTCTTAGCTACAAGTGTGATCTAGAAAAAGGTCACTCTAACGATAGTCGTTTGCTTACGTTCTAAAGCCCTTCTATGGAGACTCAGCGATTGCGTCATTGACGTAACGAACTTCTAAAAAAAAGATAAAATGATACTTGTATGGAACTTAATTCTCGCTGGTTTTTGCTGCTTTGTTTTATCGATACCATTGTTATGCAGTTCGAATTTTTTTTTTTTCATTTATGAATATAGATCAACCTGAGTTTTTTGAAATAGTTTCGATTAAAATATAACTGAACTCACCCTCGGAGCAAATTAATATTTTTCGGATAATTAAGTTTGAGTGCAAACAATAAAAATATACATTCACATTCGAATTGACCTCGATCAACATAATCACCCAAGAATAGATAACGTGTTTTAGCTGGTTCACCACCCGCCGATAATATTGTAAGAAGATCATAGAATTGTCCATGAATATCGCTGACAATCGTAACAGGTCGCTGAACAATTAATATATTCTGTTCACTTTCAAATGTTCGTCGAGCGAGATTAACCAGATGCAAAGCACATTTTTCATCGAGACGGCCTTCAGCTTGTAAATGTTGAAGGAGGCGACGAATGGATGGTAGACCAGATGATGAATCAAATAGATCAATGTGTCTAAGTCGATCAACTTGAGGATATCGAATAGAACTTAGTGGACGAGCAACAGTAGAAATATTCATCTTTTCCTTTTGTAAGTATTCTCCCCTCTTTTCAGTCATGTATGCAGAAGAAAGACATAATTTCTCATTTTTCTCTTTGCACGCATGTCATTTTAAGTAAATAAAAAGAACTTAACAACTCTGTTTATATTGCTTTTCACTTGTGACAGAAGTGAAAATGACGACGACCATTTTTGACAAATAGCAGAATAAATTAACTTGACAACGATGGCAATGAAATGCATTAATGTTGATTCGCTGAAAGAGAACAAAGGCGACGAAGTGACTACAAATTTAATACACAATTTTCAGAAGATTTTTGACGACACTTTTTGTGTAATGATATGTTCATTTGACTTACAAAGATATTTAAGATTTTATTAAAACTGAAGCATCCATCAGTGTTTCGTTGAGTTAAACATAAATGTGAGACTTTATACTTAGGATTTATCGACTTTTTCACAATTTCTGGCGAAATCTTTGAGTTTTGTTCGTGAATATCATGATTCTCAGTCCAATCATATGTATCCATCGTCGATATAGCTTGATTAGAGATGTTAAAATGCGAGACAACACCTGATGGGTTCTATTGATCTTGTCAATATTCGAATATATTTACTAGGAGAAGATTCTCAAAAGAAAGCTACACATTTTTATTCTTCAAAAGCAGAACAAAAGACAATTGAGTAATATAAGTGGATCAGAAACGGATCAGCGATAATAATAGTATTGTTCATCATACGATTCGATTACGGGAGTATGGAGCGATGACAATTTAACTGTCTTTTATTAAGCCTTCGGTTTATTTTATCTAATAACCCTCAGTAGTTTCAGCAATTGCTGGTTTTCTTGCTTTACTGTTGTATATTGGAATTAAGTATAGCGTATTTCTGGCCCAATTCCTGTTCTTAATGTCAAGCACTTCTTTTTTCTTTTGTTCATGTATCAATTCCATTGCTACAACGTTCAATTCGAATCAGAAACACCATTCGATGGCGTAGCTGACGACAAACACATGTCATTGGTCCATAACTATTGTTTAAAAAATAAAGCGATTCTTCTATTCTAACCTCATCTTTCAGGGCACTCCAGATCGAGGAGGTGAGTGAAAAGCAAAAAACCTAGATTGGTATGGGTGAAGGTGCATGTGGTTATGGATGCCTTAATCTTCTCTCATATTGACACATGCCTATACACCCACAACGATCATTCTCACATTATTTTTCTTCCGTTCGTCGAATAGTCAAGCAAATATAATTTGATGTCTAAAAATAATGCATTCTTGCTTTGATATTTGGCAATGTAGCACATCAAGTTGTTTTCTTTTCTCACATATTTTTGGGTCTCAATATTGACTCATGAATGATTTTTCTAATTTGATACTTGTCAATAAGAGCTTTAAATCGAAATTTAATCGCAATTTTTCGCATGCACATCAATCTTAACTATCTTTACTGATTAACTTCTCCAATCAAAGCAACCATTAGCTAGAATCATATATTGCAACTAAACTGATGTGCTCTTGTCGAATTAATGTACGATGTTTCAACAAATATAGTTTCACCTGTTGTCTCTATGAGAACTCATATTCATGAGAAGCTGTATTAGCTAAATGTCATTATTGAATATGTTTTATTTAATAAGTCATGATTATTCGATGCTCTAAAAACAATTGAAAGTAAAGAAAAATCTCAGTAAATTTTATGTCAGCGATTAAACGTTAAAGGAGATTAAAGCTGAAAAAACAAGCTCTTAGCGCAATCCCTTGCGGGATTAAAAATGTGAAACACGATGGGCCTATTGCTACTAATTAAATGGAAATCCTGTTGTTCCATTTCCTTACGACACATTTGTAGCTGACCGTATATCTGATGCTTTATAACTACAATTTCTGTGTCACGGTCAGTGATGGGTACCCAGGATTCTCTGTCACGGTCTGTGATGGGTATGAATTTTTTCTGCCACGGTCTGTGGGAGGGGGGGAGGCTCCAAAATTTCTACCCTAAACACTTCAACACTCCTTTCAGATCGTGTTTCATAAAACAGAGAATGTTATCATCATGAGAAAGGCTCAGATTAATCGTTCACGAATTTTTTTTTGCTTAACTTTTCTTCATNAGAGAACCCCGGCACCCATCGCAGGCCGTGACAGAGAACCCCGGTACCCATCGCAGACCGTGACAGAGAAACTGTAGTTGTAAAGCATCAGATTAACGGTTAGCTACAAATGTATCGCAACGTAATGGAAGAAAAGGATTTCCATTTAATTAGTAATAATAGAGCCATCGTGTTTCACATTTTTAATCCCGCAAGGGATTGCGCTAACAGCTTTTTAAATACAGGTAGATCTCCATATGAAAAGCTAGCGTTCTCTACAAATTGCAGCAAGATAGCTAATTTTCAAAACTTTCGTTTGACAATTTAAAAAACTTTTCATTAAAATTTGCATATAGCAATCTTCTTTAATCCGAGCACATTGTAATCCCAAGTTGAAACTTAAAATATTTGAATTTTCGTTTCTCATAAAATATTGAATTCTCAACATTATGCTCAACGAAAATTTTAAACAATAGCTTGAATTTTAAATTCTACTTCATTCATGTTCGCAAATGAGCAGTAGCCCTTCCAAGTTTTTGTCCATAAAGACAAAATTCGTAAATACTCTTATATAGTAGCATTTTCAAGTTACATACAAGGAAAAGTCCTTTTCTAGTTTCAGAAAATAGTTTATAAGATTTTTTTCTTGCATTGTTTTCAATTTTCTTTCATTAATGTAGACTTTACATCGTCCAGATATCTTCCTCTTTCATTTTAAACATTCCTTGACGCTTATGGGGAAGATGTAGTAATTCGTATAATTGTTGAAAACGTTTTCTTCTTTCATTATCAGAAATTCGAATGAAAGACACACAAAGTAATATGATACAGTTTTAGAGTTCTCAAGTTCATCAAGTTTGATATTGATGCGTCTAGGTTTTTCAAAAGCGTCAAGAAAATGTTTAAAATGAACGAGGAAGATATCTGGACCATGCAGAGTCTACATTAATTTTAAAAAAATTGAAAAAAAATGCAAGATAAAACCTTACAAAATATTTGCTGAAACTAGAAAAGGGCTTTTCCGTGTATGTAACCTGAAAATGCTACTATATAAGAGCATTTACGAACTTTATCTACTTGTAAGTGTTCTCTATTACCAATACAAAAATCAACTCATTCAATAGAGCGATACTCGAGATAAGCGATTTTTTTTTTGGTAGGTAACTTTTCGGACACCCTGTGTATGCTGATGATGACGGTACTTGTAAAGGTCGAAAATCTCAGAAATGCATGCAGAATTATTATTAAACTGCAACTTTTCTATTATTTACTAACTTACGTTAAAAAATCTTTATCCTAGTGAAGATCCAAAAAGTTGCATAAAAATTTGAATAAATTGATGCAGTATTGGACATTATATTGTTTTGCTTACGCTTTTAGTACGAAATGACTCCCCCATCTTTAGCAGTTCGTTCAGCATTACGATTACAATTTTGGATATTTTATTGGAATCTTCTACGTGAACAAGTCAGACTAACGAAAACACTTCCAGCCAGTCTTACAGAAACCGGTCAACCTGTACCAAACACAGCAAAATTGATACCAGTTCTAACAGAAAATATTGATTTATTGAATAATTATATGGATATTGAAGCAATTAGTTTACGTTCATTAATGAAACGCGGACGTTATTTAGTAGTTAATTTTGGTAGTTGTACATGACCACCGTTTTTAGTAAGTTTATCATTCTTTATCAAACTTGCTTCATATTACCAAAAATTACATTATCCAGTTGATTTTATTATAATTTACATACGAGAAGCACATGCATCAGATGCATGGAAATTTGATGGAAATGAATATAGTTTTATACGAAATCATCGAAATATAAATGAACGATTAGATGCTATTAAAATAATGGTAGAAATGGCAAATATTACTAAAGATAAAAACATACATATTTATTCTGATACTATGGATGATAGAACAAATCATTTATTTCGTGCTTGGCCAGAAAGACTTTATGTTTTATATGATGAAAAGATTTTATATCAAGGCCAGAAAGGACCATCTGGATATTCGATACCGTCATTGGATTATTTTTTAAAAAAGAATATTATTATTCAAAATTAGTTTATTTTTTTGTTTTTCTTTATTTGTGATGATTTGTATCGAAATTGGATCAAATACCAAAGATACAAAAACTGATTTTTTCAAGAAAAATAAAAAATAAAACAAACCAATTATTTTAAATACATATTATATACATTTCTCATGTTTTTTTAGTTCGTGGTAACTGAAGTATAACAGTGAAAGACGCCTTCCTGTACTGTTTTCATTATCAATAGAAATCTTTCTAAAGAGTATGGCACTTAAAATTATCTTTGATTGATTGAAGATCAAATGAAGGGTAAATTCTGTCCATGGGGAAAAGTTGTTACACTCAACTACAACATATCATCTTTATCTGACTACCGAGGTGATTCAATCCAACCTGTGGATCTTACTGGAAAAGGTCGGATCCGACATCGGATTGCTTCGGAATGGTGTCCTGCAGGGTAGAGTAGGGTAATAGTGTTATACAAATGCTTAGAAAGAAATTAAAGTGCCGTTCATATTACTAAGATTTCCTTATAAGGGAAAGTCTCCAGATGTATCCTGAGTATTTCAATGAAAATGATGTGGGTTTGTCAAGTCAAATTTAGCTATCTCGAGTGCGAAACAATTAGATCCTTAGTCTACGTTAGTAAAAAACTATAGACAACACATTTTCCCAAAAAATTAGTGCATATGCTTCGCTGTACAGTTTTTTCGTGAGAATTCTCTAAAATTCTAGCGCATTATGTCTCTAAATATTGTATATCGCGTTCGATTCGTGTGTTCTCTATGCTTTCATTGTATTACTCTCGATTCGATGTATTATAACTATACCCTGCCTCCATACCCTCAAGATGTCTGACACTTATGCAGATATATGTCAAATAATTCTGATAATTTTGAGATTGTACATGATGTGCATCTTTCTTTTGACAAAGATTTGTGTTCTATGCCAGCGTGCAATGCTCGCTCTTTCATTTGCCGTAGCCATTGCCATCGTATTCTTCGCTTCAATCATTTTTTGCTAATTGATAGTAATCATTAGAAACCACATCTTGTTCGTTGCGAAATAAGTAATGGGGTGTGGCGTGTGGATGTAGATTGGGTGTCGATTAATCTTATCTTCTTCCACCCCGACGCACAGCCACATCTACACCCACCCACACCCGGTGAAAAAAATGTTCTGATATTTGATTTAGGTGGTGATACATTTGATGTATTAATACTTATTATTGATAATGGTATTTTTGAAGTAAAATCAACAGCCGGTGATACCTATTTAGGTGGTGAAGATTTTGATAATCGTTTGGTTACACATTTTATATAAGAATTCAAAAGAAAAGCCAATAAAGATATATCAGAAAATGCACGTGCTCTTCGACGTTTGAAAACGGCATGTGCATTAGCTAAAGTAAGTTGAAACTTATTTTTCTATTAGAAGATATTAAATCCCTCGTGTTGTTTTTTTCTTAAATAGCGAACATTATCAACATCATTTCAAACAATAATTGAAATCGATTCTCGACACGAAGGTATTGATTTTCATACAGCAATAACACGAGCTCATTTCGAAGAATTAGATGCTGATCTATTTCGTTCAACACTTGAACTAGTTGAACAAGCATTACGTGATGATAAAATGGATAAATCAAATATTCATGAAATAGTACTCGTTGATGGTTCAACACATATTCCAAAAGTACACGAATTACTACAAGATTTCTTTCATGATGAAGAATTACATAGATTCGTTAATCATGATGAAGCTGTCGCTTATGGTGAAGCTGTTCAAGCAGCTATTTTGAAAGGTGATAAATCTGATGAAGTTAAAGATGTACTATTACTGGATGTTACATCACTTTCATTGGTAAGAAACAAACAACAAAACAAAAAAAGAATTTTTTTTTATTAACTCTCTGTTTCATTTTCTTAACCAGGGTATTGTAACAGTTGGCGGTGTTATGACAACATTGATAAAACGTGGTTCAACTGTTCCAACACGACAAACACAAACATTTACAACCTATTCAGATAATCAACTTAGTGTTAATATTAAAGTTTTTGAAGGTGAACGTCCCATGACAAAAGACAATCATTTACTAGGAAATTTTGAACTGGCTGGTATTATTCCACCGGCATCACGTGGTGTACCAAAAATTGAAGTTACATTTGACGTTGAATATGATGGAATATTAAATGTATCTGCTGTTGAAAAATCAACTAGTCGAGAAAAAAGATACAAATTCACAATGATCAAAATCGATTATCACAAGAAGAAATTCAACATATGATTAACGATGCTGAAAACTATAAAAAAGAAGATAGTTTACAACATGAACGTATAGTAGCAAAAAATGCACTTGAATCATATTGTTATAATATGAAATCAAGTATTAATGATGATCAGATTTCATCGAAAATGTCAAATGATGATAAAACAAAATAAATCAAGCAATAGAATCAACATTAAAATGGATTCAATCGAATGGATCGGCTGAAAAAGATAAATTCGAACATAAAAAGACAGAAATCGAACAAATTTGCTCACCAATTATAACTAAAATTTATAGTAAGTAAATCTTGATTGATGAATCAAAGAGATTACTATATGAATATATATTTTCTTGCAGAAAATGATAATGATCAGAGTACATCGAAATCAAATGGCGATGGTTCACCTATTGAAGAACTTAATTAAAATGTTCTTTCCAGTTTATGATAGATTTCTGTTTTTTAAACTTGAACGAATTTTATGAATGAACAAAAGAAAAAATATTAGTTTTTTTATTGTCAATAAAATATTTGATAAGACAGTTAATGATCGTCTAAATGATAATTTGTTTTTGTTTCATTAATTAGAAAAGAGTATCACAGTGTACACGTATTATGAAATGGAAACGATTATTTTAAATGATTCATCTAAGTGTACTTTGGCAAAGTCTGTTTGAGATCTAATTCTATTCGAAATAATGATGCACTCCAAATGCTGCAGAAAATCATTATGAATGAAAAGCTCTTCTGTTATGTATTGCTTTACGGTGTGGGTGTGGGTGGGCTTGAGCGTAGGTGTGCTTCTGATTCTTCCCTTTCACCCACACTCACACCATCACTTGTTCATTTCAAAGTAATTAGCAGTAACAAGTTACTTGATGGCAAACGATGGGAACGATTCATTCCGATGCATCTACCAATGCTGAACAAGTTCGAGCTTTTCTTTATGGCTAATAGACGAACTTTTCAAAATTCACAAGATATTGAACGAATAATTGAATCAGTTCGAATACCGTTCTACCTCCAATACAAAAAGTGGTTTGTCACCTGCGAATAGGACATTAACAAATCACACGTCTGTAAATCTCACTTGGATTACATACTGTATTTGAATAAAATCTTGATTTCGGCTTCTGCTAAGTTAATGGTAAATAATTCTGCAATGATGAATAATGTTGATAGTGTTAGCTTGCATTGGGATGAAGAAATGAATGCAAATATTGAAGAAAAGATATGCAATTGAACCTAAAGTTTAGGTTTTTGTTCACACGCCTTATTTTCGTATAGGATGAAAATTTGACTATTGTACACCTGAACTACATGTATAATGAAAGTACGGAAGTGTTTCGAGCGTCTAGGAGTAATTCTTCCATCGTTGTTGAACGGTAATTTGTGCAGCCAATGGAAACGATGTACTCGCGTACTCAGAAAACACTGGAAATACAGAAAGTACGGGGTATGTTATTTTCACCTTGCCTTTCTCTCACTCTTGTGTATTCGAATTAATAAAAAGAATTTTCCATACATCTTTCACTTAATACTATTCAATGAGACACTTGACTTCCGATTGAATGTTCCATTGAAGCTTAGAAAGTTGTTATATTTTATTAATTTTAGCATGTAATAGGAAGTCATCCATTGTTTCGCAAGATGACCAAGCTCCATCTCCGTTTCAAGAAAGATTGTGAATTTTCCAGAAGAAAAAAGCTCCACTATTGTACAAACCATTTGTTCAATCATTCTATATCGCGTAAAGCATTTGAAAATATATCTAAATAGTTTTGATCGACTGAAAGTAATTCTCGAGCAATTCGAATATTTGCCAAGCGTCAAATTTAATACCCCACGTTCGGAATTGTCTGCGAAGATCATCAGTTGACTTGAAGAGTACGCAACTGATTCAAAATACAAAAAATGCAATAAAACTGTTTTCATATGACTTGGAAAGAAAAGGACGCAGTCGAGTGTAGCCGAAAGCGGTTAAAGCGACGCGGTAGTTATCATGACTCATCATATGTTTGATACCTTATTTCCATGATCATTGCAAAATCCAGAATATTCATTAAATTTTACACAACTTGGCAGTGCATAGCTTCAAACACTATTATCTGCAGCTCTTTCAAAATCAAAGCTCTTAGAAACATTGTGTGATCATCTTCAAGACTATTGATACATAAATAATCTACAAATGATCGCACAGAATCATCGGTATATTAGATAATTCACTTTACAATTTTTTGGAATGACCTATGTATGAGTTAAATTTTCATTCGGTCTCAATTATTTGTGATCAAGTTCTAAGGAGAAAACATAGATATGAATCTCTCAATAGCATTGGAGCTTTTCAAATATCAATAAAGTAGTCCTCACAGCAACACTACTTTCCTGATTTTTCCCGAGTTTTTAAATGAGTTGATGCGGTTTTGAATGGTCTTAAACAAGAGCGTGGGTGTGGGTGAAAAGGAGATTCACATCCATATCCACACCCTCCAAGTTTTATGGATACATTTATAATTGATTTTATTGCTGAAAATATTGATTTAATTTATCATTGACCTTGTACACCGTTAGTTATTTCTTTGTTTTTATTTGGTCAACAACTATTTTCAACTTTAACTGTGAAAGATATTATTGTATTAAATAATAGATTTAAAACGTCTAAAAGAAAGAAAAATATCTTATGTCTGAGAAAATTTCTTGATAAATATACAAGTGATGAACTTAAGTGAAACAAATTACAGTCATGGAAAACAAAATATTCATTATATTTTTAAATTTTATTTAGTTACATCATCTCTTATAAATAATAAACCAGTGAAAATTAAATATGTTCGTGTTATTCGTAAAGATGCCATTTAATTTTGACACGATTGCATTATATCTTCTTATATACCTATGTAATCAATACAAATTGATAAAAATCTGCTAGCACAATCGCTGATAGATTAAAATGTGAAATGCACAATAACTGTTGTTATTAATAGAAAAAAGTGTTTAATAAATCTTTAAAAGTTAATACTGTATATATTGAGGGTGGGTGTGGATGTGAATAAGGAGAAAGCGAATATTCACCCACATCCGACTTCTTGCGAAATGTATATTATCAACCTCTATTGGTTCCATAATTTTCGCCTGTATAAACCGTTGAAAAATTTCAATAAAAATAAACATATAGACACAGATGTTGTCAAATCAGACATACATTACTTTTTTTTTCTTTGACTTTTATATGAAGCACTCTAGCATCTTGATATTTAACTGCCCAAAAATACACTTCACACTTCTCGGCAGTGTATTAAGATCAATATAATTTAGTTTTTCTTTTAACATTAGTATTTTAGTATCAAATAGAAAGAAACCAAATTGATCAGTAAAGTTATACATAATTATGTCGGCATTCTGACTTTTAAAAGTTTCTCTACTATTTGAATAGCACTTTCAAAAAGGGGTGCATCCCAGTGCCTGTTGCCTCTTCACATCTACATTTATCAAAGAAAAAGGGTGTGCGTTTGAATGGATAGATGAGCACGAATGAAGCAACGACACTTATCAATACCCACAATCAAAATCTGAAAAAAAAATATTGTTTTGTTTTGATCTCTTTTGTATTCATTCTTCGATTGATTTTTACATGTCGTATGTGCATAAATCATACTAAAGTGCATGATCTACTTGAAGAAAGTCGAGAGAAATCTGAGTAATGTTAGAAGAATGTCATCATTCTTCTTACATGCCATATATTTGACAAGATGAAGGAAGAAAATACCAAGCAAAGAATACTTGGCAGTTAAAAACAAAACAGTCGAAATCTCCCACAAGGAATGAATACAAGCCTCACAATACAAAACAGTAATACACTTTTTTTTTATAAAAGCACAGTCATAAAAGCAAACAGGAGAATTGTTACATTGCATTTGTGGACTTTTATCTACATATTTAAAGACATACTGTCGCAATATTTTGATCAATCAAACAACCATGATCAACACTTCAGAGATGAGTCATATGCATAATGTGTATTGGTAAGTTAAATATTCAACAATTTAGAAGACATCAATTAGTCATAACTTCATGAATGAGAGAGATTTTTTAATGGATTAAAAGCGATAAATGGGATTCTTAAAGTAACAGCAATTAATTTACACATAAATCAAAATTGACATCATAGAGAAATGTCATTGAACATGTTTTTTTTTGTTATCATCTTAGTCCAACATCTCCACAAAAACGGTTTGTCGTATTACTATCGATATTTTTCGTTGTTTTTGGCGGTCTCTTTCTCGTTGCTACAATTGTGTTGAGCATTTTGTATGGTATTGAACGAAATAAAACAATCAACAATCAAACGATGACAGGTATTTTCTAGAAAGATCCTATCGTCAGGAAATCAATGGATTAAAACTTGAAATGTGAATATAAATTGTGGTACATTGATAAAGAACGCAAGAATACCAGATAATGGTAAAGTCTCTCTTATCATCTATGATCGTCTACACTATGAAGTTCAATTCATTCTATCTATCCATTTCAGCGATTTTGCAAAGCACAGTCCGAAAATTAAAAACTGAGTTGGACGATATTATTAGCGGTAGAAGATAAACCATCTTTGTTTTTCATTTCCTTTTCCTCTTTTTCAGATCTTCTTCGATTGTCACCATCGAATGGAACCGTTGAGCTTAAGGCAACATCTAATGCACGTCGCATGTATGCTTCTTGCGTCAATGAAGATGCTATTGAAGCAGAAGGCAATGATGCGATACTCTCATTTGTCAATAAAGAACTTGGTGGTTGGCCTATTTTGCAAAGCTCCACATGGAACAATTCAACGTTTAACTTTTCTCGGCTATTGCTTAAATTAAGTGAATATTCGAACAGTGTAATCTACAATGTAGATACACAAATAGATGCGAAGAACTTATCATTTCTAAGCATTCGAGTGAGATAATGGACCGTAGACTTGTATCGATAATGAATATTGATGTTGTAGATCAGTCAAAATTTACTTGCTTTGGGTGATCGCAATTATTACCTCAATGACAACGATGTTACTAGAGCCTATCGACAATTCATACGAGATTTAGCTATGGCATTGACAAACGATACATCAATGGTTGATAATGATGTCAATGCTATATTCATATTTGAAGAATTAATTTCGAAGGTGATTCTTTCCTTCTGTTCATACTCTTGATCATACTTCTTTCTATTCAGTACATCTGGACATCAAGTGAACAAAGAGCCCATGAGAAGGAAACTGTTCGAACAACAATCAATAGTATTTCATCTGCAATCAATACTAGTGTGAGTATTTCTTTCATATTTAAGTATGTTTCACATTTCCATTCAGTTTGACTTTCTCGGCTATCTTCATGAACTTTATCTCTTGGCAAATGTCACTCTCATCGAAACAGATATTGTTACTGTGAGTGAACTTGAATATTTACGCAATGTTTCATTGATTCTTAATCAACAATCTTCACGTACTCTACAAAATTATATGGTCTGACGTTTCATCATGCGCCAAACACTGATTATGCCAAAACAATTTCGAACTATCAGGCAACAGTTTGTTAAAGTCTTTCTAGGTAGAAATGCTGAACCATCACGTGCCATCGTATGTGGACAATCTGTGAATACAATTATGGGATTTGCTATTGCCAAACTCTATATAAATGAATATTTCGACAAAAATGCACGTAATCAGGTATCTAAAACAATAGTTGATTCTACAACTAATTTTGATTTTTTTTTACAGTCGCTCGAAATAATTAACAACATTCGAAATGCATTCATTGATATGGTCAATCAATCGACATGGATGGATTCTGCCTCAAAAAGCAGAGCAATTGAGAAAGTAAGATAAACATAAATCAGCTTTAGATTTTTGAAATTATGTCGTGATACAGGCACGAACTATCAAAGAAAAAATTGCTTATCCTGATTATTTGAATGATGATAATATGACAAAACTTGAGGAAATGTATGCCGAAGTGAGAAATAGAACAACTTTTGTTTTTTTAAAATCTTCATCCGCTAATCTTTCTGTTCCAAATCTAGTATAACTTCAATTCGTCTTTTATGCGAAATTTGTTGCTCGTGCTTCAAATAAATGCGAAATGGAATCTTCGATCTCTTCGTCAGCCTATCGATCGTGCTGCATGAATGTTTCCTCCAGTTATTGTCAATGCCTTTTATGATCCGTCACTTAATGATATTTGTAAGGTAAATTCCTGGATGATACAGCATCATACCTTCGTCTCTCTTTAGCTTTTCCAGCTAGAATCCTTCGACCACCGTTCGTTCACAAAGATGTACCTAAGTAAGATCTCGTTCTCATTTAAAAACAAATCTTTATTTTTATTGTAGATATCTCAATTATGGCGGTGAATACGAATTTAGTTGATAGAAACGAGAAAAACATTTTATCAAATTTAGGTATCGGAACGATCATGGGACACGAGATTACACATGATTTTGATGATGAAGGTAGGCAGTATGACAAGGATGGAAATCAAGTTTCCTGGTGGACTAATGAAACAATAGATATGTTTAATCGACATAAGGAGTGCATAATCCAGCAGTACAGCGACTACACAATAACTGAAATCAATCTCCAGGTTTCTCATTTTGTGACAATTGTTTTGATACAAACTTATCTTTGTTATTCAGTTAAATGGCGAACAAACACAAGGCGAGAGTATTGCTGACAATGGTGGATTGAAAGAAGCATTTTTCGTATGTTGTTTTATACGTTGATTGAGACTCAAATGCATAGACTTTGTAGGCCTATGAAAAGTGGGCTCAAACCCATCCAAATGTTGACAAGAAGCTGCCGGATCTAGGCAAATATTCAGCTGAACAAATATTTTTTCTCAATTTTGCTCAACAGTGGTGTATGAAAGCGACAGATCAACTTTTCAGACTTCAAATTGTACTAGATGTGCATACGCCTTCTCGATTCAGGTTAAGTCTTTGCTAGATTTCTTTATAATCATATTAAATAAGATCTTTTTTTTTATTAAGGGTGATTGGTCCTACATCTAACTTTGTCGAATTTGATCGAGTATTTGGCTGTAAGCCGGGCCAAGGAAATAGTCTAGTGAACAAATGTTCTGTGTGGTGACGGTTCTGTAGGAGTTTTAATCATCTGCCTCGAGAAAAATATGAATAACTATGCAATGCTTTGCTTTATTCAAATGTATGATCTTTTTCTTCTCTCTTACTGTTACGTTAACGCTTTCTTTATATATGCTTTGTATATATATCGCGTGCGAATTAGTTGAAGATCAGACATTTTATCTCTTGAGAAAAGGACAAGTTATAATGTCAATACTTAAAATCATCAAAATCAAGATTGTTTAGGATGTGGGTGTGGGCATGAATGGACCTTTTAGTCGTGACATCCATGCAAGGGAGAATAGTGAAAATGCTGTACTTCATTGTACTCCCAGGTTATGCCAAAACAATCCTTGAGACATTTTTAGCTATTTCAAGTTTGCTATCAACCTGCGTTACGGTACTTTACTTGGAGTTCTGCTTGAATATGTCTGTTTGGTAGCAAAGCCCAAATACTTTGTCGTACATCAGTTAGTGAAGTACAGCTAAGTGTTTTGACTTTGCTACCAAACAGGCATATCCAAGCTGGACTCCAGGTAAAGCACGGTAAGACAGGTCGATAACAAAGTTAAAATAGCTAAAATTTTTTCAAGGATTGTTTTGGTATAACCTTGGAGTACAGTGAAGTACGCTGAAGTACAGCATTTTCACCTTTTCCCCCTTGCATTCACACCATATCCATACAAACAATCTACACCAACATGCACACGGTTACTGGTACCCACACCCACACTCTCATGCAAGAGCTAACTAATGTATTAACAACTAGATCCATGCGATCTTGTGTAGTTGTTGTTGGGGAATATTAATCGATCATTAAGTTTTGAAAAATTTGCCAGTTGGTCATTTGATCATCATTAACATGCACAAACTGAACAGCATGCTACAATGGGTCTAGGAAAGAAGCGCACGAGGAAAGTTGCGCACGGGAATCTTACGCATGTAATATGGATCTCTCGTTTTCATATCAATAAAAGTTAATTGAACAAAATAGCAGAAACAATTTATTTTTGAAGTGATTAATTGTAATATTAATAATTAGAAGTACAGTATAAGAAAAAGAGCTAATGTTCACTACTGTACAAATACAATGTAACTATTTAGTGCTTCTGTTTCTAATGGAGATATTTGCTATAAGGTTATATTATATGCTAGTGCACTTAATTGATCAACAATATGAGGGTGTGGGTGGGTGGGGGTGTCTGTGTGATCCCATTCTTGATCAACACATTCACACCCTCACCCACACACTCGCACACTCAGACCTACATCCACACCCACACCCGTGTCCTTTTATTTGGGATATCTTTTTTTTTAATGAACTTAGCTTGATTGGCTTAAAGTATTAAAAAGCTTAAACGTCTATTAGTTACAATTTTAAAATTTTTGAATAAGATCATGTTCCATTTTTTATTTATCTCAAGAATGAGTATATTGAGCTTGAATTCAACAAAGCTAGACATTTTTTCTCTTTTCTTCACCTTTCTAATCATTGTTCATGCACAACTAATAGTCTGATATTTCGTGTTCAAGACATCCGTGCGCTTCTTTCTGTGCGCAAGTTTCCGTACTCAAATTTTCTCGTGCGAATCTTTCCGGATCCCCTTTCAATAGATAATATTTATCTTTATTTGCCTAAATACTTTCATAGTATTCCAAATTCATAAATACACTTTTAATAGCCGTCAACCAAACATATATATTTGTTTTTCTATTATAATAAGGAATTCTGACTAATACTTTATCTTCTTTGTTATTGATTGAGTGGTTTGTTGATTGGATTGGTAATAAAGTCATAATAGTTTTCAATGTTTGATTATCGAGTTCTGGTAATACAGCCATCTTAATTTCTGTTGCATTGATAGAGATAAAAGATAAACAACTAATATCGGTTATTGAGGAGTCTGCTTTAATTGATTGACATGAGGCATTTGTATTATACAAATCATCCATTTTATTATTATGATTTGACATACTTGATTGAGTCACTTGTTCTTCTTCTCTTTGATCTGATATTACTTGATGAATACTAAGTTTCGATAAATTTAAACGGGTTCTGGTTCGTACCATACAAATTAATGCTAAGAGTTTCGTAAATTGTCGAAGCAGTCTAGATTGTAAATCTTCTTGGAACTGAAGAAGCTGGCATAATGCACCCATTGTTAACACTGGCTATACAGTTTTATTTAAAAAGAATCAAGACGCATAGATTCAACAGTAATAAGAAGAAGAGAAAAAAGGACGACCAGAGAGGAAAAAAAGGAAAATTTGTGTATATACTATATAAATATATATATATATGTAAGTGAAATCATGCCATATCTTGAACAATAGTACATACAACGATGATCATATCATTAAAAAGACAAAGCATAATGTCATTAAGGTGATGAAGTGATAACAGGAACATCAAGGGTTACCTCATTCACAGAGGGCCTCATTAATCTCTCTCATAAGTGAATAGGATGTGTATCCGGTCATGGTATAGTTTCTTCTCTCTCGTCATGTATATAGACCAAGAGAAAAAGGAAGAGACAGTTAGAGTGAAGAATAAAGAAAAGGAAAGTAGCCAACGAAGATTTCGTTACAATCTTCTTTTCAGACAAGTACCGATTTAGTTGATTTGAATTTGATGGAAACAAAGTATAGTGTGACGGATACCAACAGAAGAATTAGATTCAGTAAATAGAGTTCTTATCATCAAGCATGGCGACGGTACACTAGTGTCGGATTTGTGGAACCAAAACGAGCATAATGAGCCTGTCGAATAAAATAGTGCATAATTTCATCGAGCTTTGTGGTCGATATTTTAAGCAGCTTCATCAAATCTTTGTAGACGTCCTCTCATGTGTCGGTTCGAAGTAATATCAGATTTATTTTGCGTTCCAGATGCTTCTATTTAAGCAATAAATCTTGATTAGGACAATCATGAACAACGTTACGGAAAATAATGATATTTATTATATGTTCATGACGTTTGATTTAATGACAATCATAAACAATGCTTGAAAAAATAATGATGTTTGCTGTGGGCTCATTAAATCTCTGACAAGTATTGCTGCTTAATATATATAAATATTTTGAAGAGCAAATTAAATTCAATACACCGCTTTAACTTTCATATCAGAGAATGACTGCTACAATTTGGTGTATCTGTCTATGGCTTCTGCAGCACATTAATATTGCTGCTGTACAAAACTTTGAATGGATTTTATATTCGCATACAGAGAGAGATCATTGCTTTATGCATGATTACCGACTATTTTGTCGAGATCAAGATTCAATTCGTACTAATCTGTCATCGTGCACGAATGGAACTATATGGAATTTCTCCACTCTCGAACAAAACAACATTAATACTGACGATTTACTGAACTGGAAAATTCCCTTTGATCTTGTTGAGCGTTATGCAGATTATTTGAACACAGGTTTAACGAATAGTTTCATCTGTAATTGTACATCTAATCGAATTGGATCATCATGCCAATATATGCTATTTTGTGATCTACGTACTATCAGTGAAGTATTAAAAAAGCAACTCCTTAACCCGAAGGAGCGTGAAAGTGAGCGTGCGGCATGCTTAATTGATGGTATCAAATGTAATGCAGGTTTACTCTGTCTGGAATGGCGACAAGTATGTGATGGAATACCTCATTGTGATAATGGTATTGATGAAGCTGAATGTTACTTGCTTGAATTTCAACAGTGTGCATCGGATGAATTTCAATGTCGAAATTCAATGTGCATACCAGTTGAATTTCTTTTCGATGGTACCGTTGATTGTATGGATAGAAGTGACGAACAAGAAATAGGTAGAATACGAGAACTTGTTGCAACATGTCCGACGAAATCGACTTTCGAATGTGATGAAAGATTATGTCGCAAGGATGAATTCAGTTGTGGAGATGGTCAATGTATTCCCTGGTCAAATTTGATTCATCATCAAGATAGTTGTAAGAATGGGCGTGATGCTGCTTATCATTGTGAAACGATCAAAAACTTCGCAACAATGCCTAGTGGAGTTTGCCGATACAATGGTTTTGGTAAGTGAAATATCTTATTGTCGAAAGCAGAAAGAACAATAATGTTTATTTTTTATCTTTGGCCAGAAATAAAAGTTTATTGTAACAAAGAATTTCTTGCTTTATCTCTGTAAAAGAAAAATAGCTAAATTTTACTAACATCATATGGACACAAAGCTTGCACTAGACCACTCGATTTTATGAAATAAAATCGGAACTAATAATAAATATTTATTGGAAAATTCCCGCCTGAACTTCTTGAGTTAGAACTATAATCACGAAAGAGTTGAAAAATACTATTAGAAAACCAATAATAGACATGCTTCAATAAATGACATTGATAGTATTGGTTATTCGATAGAATGAATTCCGATCTTTGAATAGATATGAAGAATTTTGAGATTTCTATAGAATCGAATTGAGATGAATTCAAATACCCCCGATTTCGAGACTATCAATTTATGTCTAATCAAGAAAATGAATTATGTTCGAGTTTTTAGATCAATAATTGACTGGTACTTCTCAAGAGGTGAAGTAGTGTTCAACTAAATATCTAAGAACTTGTTAGCGGAGTCGAAGTTTTTAAGATTTGTCCTGTGCGAAAGTATACTTAAGTACATTGAAACGGATAAGATGAATACCATTGGGACCTCCCGAAAAGTGTTAATTATGAGAGGTGTTCATCTTATAGAGGTTTTGCATAAATTGAACTGTTGCATGCATACAATGATCAGTAGGACTATTTCTATGACTACACAATTCATGTAAAGTTCACTGCAGATGAATCAAAGAACGAAACCAAATCTTTCATCTAGTGCATGATTTTTTGTGAAATCTTTGTTGAAAATAATCCTCCAACGCCGTCTATTTGGGACCTTTCGCGTCGATGTAGAGTTGAGTGCATTGCAAGACTAGCTGTTAAATTTCTTCTGAAAGGGTCAATGTACGCTTCGTCATCATCTCTTCATTGAAAATAAACAAATGCTCTGTTAGGTCACTGGTGAACGGTCAATCCATCTGAGAACAGTGTGTCGCGGACTATTGATTTTTTTGTTCTTTTTTTCGATGATGAATAGACCGCCGACGAATTGACCTAGCCCCTCTTTAGAATGCATATTGTGTTTTTTGTTTTTCCCTGTTTTCTCACACATACATGCATAAGTTGTTGAACGCGTGTTCATTATACAGAGGTTTTCTTTGCTAAAGGGACCAAAAAAAGTGTTCATTGTTCAGAATTGGGAGGTGTTCATTATATAGAGGTCCATTTACAGTAAAAATCGATCAGGGGGACCGAGACACGTGTTCAAATAGGAGGTGTTCATTAAGGGAGGTTTTACTGTATCTTTAAAAACAGAAAAATGTCACCAGATATGAGCAATGCATTATGCATTGATTACTAATTGTTTCTAAATATTTTCAGGACGCATTCCTCGATTGATAAACACTAGCTCGTGTACACTCGGCCTTCGCCATTTACTCGCAGGATCTTCACGCAAAATAGCAGTGAATCATATCATGGCTTACTGTCCTGAACTAATTCAATATCCCGAACAATCTGTTCTATCACCCGTTCTCAATATGTTCTATAATAAGTCTCGTATTATTTCATTTTATGAGAAGCAAAACTTTGGAGATCCTCTGCCGAAATTGACAGCTGATGTTTTCTGTCTTCATGGGGCATTCATATGCAACGGTATTCCTACAACGTTAAACAAAGATGTCTGCTGGAATTATGAAGAGTTTCTATCATTTACTACGTTACCATTCTTCCCAATACCTAACTTGTTCTGTCAATTGGCAGCAGATCAACAACGGAACATTTTTCAACAGTCAGTATTCTCGATTTCATTATGACATTGAAGGAGTCTTGATTTTATGCTTCCTTCAGTATTTCCAATAGAATGCTGTAAAATATCTAAGACACCTGTCCTTTAGATTTCTCAAAAAACGTGACCGCAAAGTTTCCTTTTCCTTCAATCGTTCTGACTGATTTTTAGAACGATCTTCAAGGCTCATATCCAATCATTTTTCTCTTTTTGCGAATTCAATTAGAGAATTTTGTTCGCCAACAGTATTGAATCTGTCCAGTGTCAAGTGAAATGAATATTTAGCACAAAAAAGACGACAAAATGGCAGCCATTCGTTCAACGAGAAACAACCGAAAACAACATCGTTGACTGCCGATAGATTAAGATTCGACCGTCTGCGATTCATGAGAGTAGTGAGAGACGAACTAGGCATGGCAAGTATGCATTTGACAAGCTTGGATCAATTGAGCAACAGTTAAACTTCATAAAAACATTTTCTCACTCATCTGTTGCGTGCCTCACCGGTAAGCATCGACCTCTCTCAAAACTTCATATGCCTATCTCCACTCCTACAAAAAGTCCGTGTCATTCGGGTATGCGCAATGTGTTATTTAGCTAAAATAGATACATTGCACCCTGTAGATCTACTCAATATTCAGTTTAAGCAGAAAAAAAATGTATACTAATGTTCAACTACAATGTGTCTTTACCTTGGATCCATTTTGAGACCACAATTAGTATGAAAAATGTGAATTGCTCATATTTTTAGTGGGATTTTGCCTGATAAGACAAGAAACCTAAAATAATATATACTTATCGTCTATATTGGACTTTGTAGTCAGCCTTTCTCAATGCAGATTCCTCAACTGTTGATCACCAACACTCAAATATCCAATCTAGAAGGATTTCTGTGCAATGGATCGATCTATTTGCTATCACCGAGACGTATCAATGACGGTTATATTGATTGTTTGTCTGGTGAAGATGAACGAAATCAACACTATGAAATGATTCAGCCATATCGCTATCGATGTTTGGATCCATTGATTAGACAATATGTCAGTTACCAGCAGTTGGGCAATGAAATCGAAGAATGTTCAGATGGAAGTGATGAACTTTCTGATGAACTACATTGGCCTTTCTTTCGATGCGAATTTGAAGATGAATATGCTTGTTGGGTATTGCGTGGTACCGGTCTCGATAATAATGATCGTATTAAAGATGTTCGACTTCTTTTCCATCGCCATTGTGATTCGATCTGGGATACGAGAGATGGTCGAGATGAGAAAAATTGTTCACAATGGATATGTGCTCTCGGAATGTATCAATGTCAAGGTACTGGACAATGCATTAATCGAACACAATTGTGTGATGGCGAATTTGATTGTGATAATGGTGAAGATGAGTTAAATTGTTCAATAACAAAACTTCATTGGTCACTCGAAGATCAATGTAATAATTCGAGAGAACACTTTTGTATTACGTTCGAATTTCTTTCAAATCAAACATTGTATCGTCCGTGTATAGATTATTCGAAAACAGGCGATGGATTCATTGACTGTATTGGCGGAAGAGATGAACGCAACGTGTTTTCATGTTCAGATCATCGAATGTTAGGTGATCGTTTTCTATGTGACAATGCGACAAAATGTTTGGGTCATACAGTCATTTGCAATGGTATTAATGAGTGCTTCGATCAAACAGATGAACTTATTTGCTTCTGGAATCGATATCCATGTCGTATGGGACAGTTTGCCTGTTTCAATGACAGCAGCTGCCACAATAGTCGTTGTAATTCGAATCAGACTTGTTCTAAAAATGAACATTTGTTTTGGTGTCCGAATTCAAAAAATGCACTAGAAACTACCTATCGATCAAGCAAGATTCGTCGTCTTTCGAACTACAATTCGTTTTGTAATAGTTTTTCGCTGGCTTTTACACCACCGACCACAATTCTTAGAGCTACCTGTTCGGGCAACAAATTAAACTTTGATTTTCATGGATTTTGCAATCGTGGTTTCTTTTTGATGACCGGCAATGACACACAACCTTCTTGCTTTTGTCCGCCCAGTTTCTATGGAAACCAGTGTCAGTTTAACCGTCGGCGTATTACTATACGCATTCGTTTTGATCGAAGACATCGCTCAGACATACCACCAGTACTTCATATTCTTGTCTTTTTACTATATAATGAAACATTGATAATTGATCATCAACGATTTGTCGACGTTGATCAAGATTTTCCACCGAAACACAACGCTTACTTACTGTACTCACGTCCCAACTTGACTGGAAACTATTCAGTTCGATTTGAAGCCTATCATAGTCTTGAACTAGTATCGATATGGGAATATTCAATCAATACTATCGGATATCTTCCTGTATTTCGATTAGCCAAAATACTTCGATTTCCTGATCGTTCATTACCATGGCTATGTCTTAATAATCTTTGCAGGAATAATGGAACATGTTATGTTATCGTCAATCAGAATCCAAATCAGTATTTATGTCTTTGTCAACATGGTTGGAAAGGCAAATTGTGCAATGAATCTCTTGAAGAAAACAACTGTGCTTTACACGCTCTTGTCCGCAGTGAGAATGTATGCGTCTGTCCACATGGATATCTTCCACCTCATTGTTTCGTGCGTAATACTATTTGTGATCAGAAATATAGCACTTGTACGTCAGACGAAATCTGTTCACCTTTCTCTGTTTTACCTCCACATGGATATACATGTTTGTGCAATGGATCCAAAACTTGTAAAGCCCAAGAATCTATTTTGGTACTTAATCAACAAAAGACCAATGAGCAAGCACTTCTTCTACAGTTGCTCAAATTTTCCTCTGACTATCCACGACTACGACAACAAATATTGGTTTCGAAATCAACCGATTTTCCTGTTCTGGGATTGATCAACTTACGAGATACAAGAAATAAACGAAGTGTGCCCGAAATGGGTCTTTTGTATACATTTGAACCTCAAACGGTCTTTGTTGCTATTCATCTTAGTATTCTTTATATTAATTGCAGCAACACATTGCGAAATTTAAGTATCGATCTTGATTTACAACCTCTACAGTGTACGGAAATCTTCGAACATCCATCCGCCAAAATTTTTCATACTTTTTGTCGTCGGTCTGACTATCGTCCATGCTTCTATACGAAGAATTACGTTTGCTATTGTAGTGAAAAGACAAATCGAAGCGAATGCATGTCATATGAGCAACGCAATATGGATTGTTCCTATTGTATCAATCAAGGTTATTGCATTCAAGGCAATCTTCAAAATAGAAGTGATTTCGCTTGTGTTTGCCCAAAATGTGTATCGGGTGATCTCTGTCAATTTGCCTTTAGTCGTTTTTCTATTAACTTCGAAATGCTCATCGAACAAATACGAGGTGATTATGCTCATTTAATTGGACCCATGATTTTCTTTTTCGTTGGATTGATCTTTAACGGTTTGGGTATTGTCACGTTTAAACAACAACAAGCACGAAAAGTTGGCACTGGTCTTTATCTTCTCGCCAATGGAATCATCAGTCAATTTGTACTCGTTCTCTTGCTAGCTCGAATTACTTATTTAGTTCTCGCTCGACAAATCACAATCAATGCTGTTGCAAACAAAATTTTATGCAAAATATTGCCCTATTTGATGACAGCATTTAGCAATACTAGCATGTGGCTCATGACTTTTGTCACTGTGGAGCGAGCATTGATAGTCACTTGGCCCACTCGATTTCGATTATTTCGTACTCCTCGATGCGCCATAATTTTAAGTACTATAACGTTTATGGGCTTATTTAGTTCTCTTTATGCGTACGTCATTGAATATAAATTGGTTATTCATCCTGATTATGTATATGCGAGCTGCGTCAGAGAGATTCCACTAGATCGAAAGATCATTGTTCAATATACTTCTCTTGCACACCAAATTATTCCTTTTCTGATTAATTTCATAGCTGGAATGACGGTCATCATCAATATTGGCCGTTCAAAAGCGACCAGTCATCATATATCAACTTGTAATACTATTGTTGAACAAATTCGTCAACGAGCTGACCTACTGGTTGGTCCATTCATCTGCTTTATCTCAGCATTGCCTCAACTAATCGTACTGTTTTTGGACGCGTGTATGTATGAAGAAAGTGCTTGGTTCGTCTACCTTACTCTCGGAGCCTACTACATTTCATTCATGCCTCAAATCATACTGTTTTTCATCTTTGTGGTTCCCTCACCACTTTACAAACAAATTTTGTTCACCGAAACAATACTTGGTCGATATTTAGCCAGGTTTTTACGACTTCAAAATTTGGCCAAGCATACTGGTATCGCTCGTTTTTAATCCAAAATACTGAAATGCTGTGTATTTTTTATTATTAGTCAAGAAAATCAAATAAACATGCTTCAAAGATCGTGATCGTGTGTAGTTTTGCATCAAAATTGAATCTGAATTTGAGTTTACAATTCAGCATGGAGTAGTTAATATTTTTTATTACTCTACTACACTTTTTCGTTTAGGTTACTAGAATCAGTTTTATTCAAAGCATGAGACTTTAAAGTGACCTCAAGCAGGAATGTGGGGGTATAGGTGTGGGTGGGATGTAGACGTGGGATGTGAAATAGAATAATACTCACATTCTCGTTCCACAATGAAAGCACTTGAAGAATAAGTGAATCGATAAGAGCTGTTGTATACTCCAAAAATAGACTAAGAGAACAAAGATGGATAAACTTTCTTGCAATGCCGTTCAATCGGATAGAGTCAACTTCTTGAAAATCAGTAATGTCAAATTCTACGATTCGTCTTTGCAATAAACCATAGATAGATACATTACCGAATAAAATACTTGAGCAATTGAAATCAATTTTAAAATGCTTGAGATTAGGAGTGGCTCGAACTAAACGAAATATTTCACATATCCCATTCATTGCAAAGACTCTTCAGTTGAGGTAAATACAAGATGATCGGACGGATTGATTGGAATGTAACTATAGATGAAAATAACTAAATATGATTACTCAGAAAAGCTTGTTAGCGCAGCCCCGTTGGGACTGCAATGTGGAACTCTTATATCTTCAATAGTTTCATTGAACTAATATAAAACACGTAATGTGAAATATCTTGTATAGACTATAGTTGATTCGCAGGATAATCGATCACCAGAGTAAGAAGCTCTCTAATTTCTGCATTTAGAACATCATTTTTTTATTTTTCTACGCGTATCTTATCTTTTCTTTGCACTGTTGTTATTCATTTTTGATTTTCTTTTTTTCCGTTTTTCTTAATTTCACATTATTATTATAAATATTGCATTAAATACCACATAAGTCTGTTTTAGATATCAATGATATCTATCGCAGATCTTAACACATTATTATATATTTTAATCAACTCACAAACAATAATATTCATTATTTTTCAAAATTATAGCTCGATCAATTTTGAAAAAACTCTAGAAAATTTTACGCTTGTTGTCCTGAATCGCCTCAGTCTGTAATCGGATGGCGGGGGGGGGGGGGGGGCGGGAGTTGTTGGTTTTTTCTGTAAAGAGGAAGGGTGGAGTGGTGGGGGGACATACAAAGTGTCCGTTTAAAACTTTTAATACTTGTCC